GGCCCGCTGGGCGGGGAAGCGGATCCATTCGGTGGAGCCCAGCGGGTGTCTGTTTGGCGATGTCCGAGGCGAACCGCGGCCTCCCTGGAGGGGCTGGCGGCTCCGTGTGCAGGAGGCCCTGCTCAGGTGCAGCCGACATGCGTCAGCGTGTGGCGCCATAGCACTGCCAGTAGCGACGTGTAGCGGCGGCGCGCTGCACGCACGGAGGCGCGTGGGGCAGCCACGCTGCCCGCGCGGCGGAAGAACCTATGCGACGAAACCACAACAAAAAAAAACAACGACACACACGAGGGCCAGCGGCGTCTGGAAGGGCCACCGCGGCTGGTCGTTCACCCCGCGCTCCCACGCCGTCACCGTTGACGCTTTGCTCGAGATCCGCGTTGGCGCCGAGGGCGCGTCAATGTCGGGGCGCGGCCCTGATGCCCCGCCCACGCCTAAGAGGACGAAGGGCAAGAACGAGAAGAGACGGTAGTTTGGCCCGAAGCGCACGCGACGCCGCCCCCCCCCCCCACTCTGCAGCAGAAGCCGGGGCCAACACGCACGCACACACAAAGAACACAAATCGCCGCCGCAAGAACGGGCAACAAAAGCCGTGATACACGGGCTCGTCGCGCAGCCCGGAAGCGGCCGCCCTTTTTTTGGGCCCCGCAGGCCCCGCTCAAGAGAGCGAGTTCTAAAAGTGGAATGGGTGGGGAAATGGGGAAGAAAAAAAGGCGCTGCGTACACGAATGCCTTCCAACGTGGCGTTGTCTGAAAACAAAAACAAAAAAAAAACAACAAAACAAAAAAAAGATCTTCGCTGGTACAAGGAAAGAAGCAAAGTAACAATAAAAAAAAACTCAACACCAAATGCAAAAGTCGCTTCCATACATTCTAGCTTCATGCGGGGACAAGGCCCTCAGATTATTGCGCCGCAGCGGCACTCACGCAGGGAGGCCACAGGCTGTCCATTTTTCGTCGTTGCCGCAGTCCCATGCTTCTAGAGCAGAGACAAACAAAAAATCAAAAAGAAACAAAAAAAACATTCCACTTGCAAGCGCCTTCCCCCCACAGACAGACACCAGGCGACGGAAGTCGCACAACGACATAACACACACACAAAAAAAACACAACCACACACTAAAACTATGCCCCACGGCTGACCCAGCCTTATCACGCCAAAGAGGCGAGGAACAAGCGCATGCAAAGAGAAAAAATTAGGTGGTTCCCCCTTCGCGTCGGCCACAACCAAGCCATACTATCTCAAGAAACAAAAAAACAACAACAACAAACATACGCATGCAAACAAGCGCCCCGGAGCTTTTCCCAAAGCCACACCCTCAGAAAGGCAAACATCGAACAAGAATAAAAGAGACCCTATCAAAATTCAAAATCACTCGGAGCATACAGAGCACCTCCCGCACTCCCATTCATCGGTGCAACACCGATAGCACCTTTTTGCACCACACCTGCACCCACGGACTCCGGCAACCCAGGTGACTTGTCAGCTTCCATGAAGGAACCAAGGCGCACTTCCTCACCTCCAAGGGATTCCGAGGCATTAACCAAATCCTCGGAAAGCAAGATCGGAATCCCGCCCCCACCAGAAAAGCAGCCACACCGGTTAGGTAAAGCATCGGTACAATTCGCAAGACCCACACCACTACCTACAAGCTCATTCTCGCATGTCACTTCCTTACCAGGCCTTTCAGTCCCCACACCGCCTACAAAAAAGGCAGCACCAACTTCTCCACTACGCCCTTCAGAACGCAAGGATCTTGCTAAAGCTTCTGATTTATTTTCCGTCAACGAGTTCAAAACAAAATCAGGAACACTATCACACACATGCACCTCACTAAGTTTACCTTCATCCAAAAAACATCCATAACCCCCCGAGCCGAGCACCGCCTCCGCGGACGCAGGGACGACCTCGGGTGTCACCGGTGCGCCCACGCCCTCCTCGTGCAGTGCGTGCTCCTGCGCCTTCGCGGCTGGATGCGCCTCTTCCGAGCCGAGCACCGCCTCCGCGGACGCAGGGACGACCTCGGGTGTCACCGGTGCGCCCACGCCCTCCTCGTGCAGTGCGTGCTCCTGCGCCTCACGCTGGATGCGCCTCTTCCGAGCCCAGCACCGCCTCCGCGGACGCAGGGACGACCTCGGGTGTCACCGGTGCGCCCACGCCCTCCTCGTGCAGTGCGTGCTCCTGCGCCTCCACGGCTGGATGCGCCTCTTCCG